CTAACCCATGTTCTTCACAATGCATGATGCGTTATTAAAATAAAACACGTCAACCGTCATCATATTCTTCCTTCTTCAAAACGCTTTCTCTTCGTATCATATGCAATTTGTCACCATTCGATCATTATTATTGCATTGTTTGTTGTTATTATTGTTCGTATTATTTTCATCGTTATCGCTATTATCGTTGCCGAAGCGTTCAGAACAGAAAACATTTCATTTCACTATCCGCAAAAAAATGAACTCAACAAAAAAGGATGGGTCATTTCAAATTCATCGGAAACCTTAAAGAAAGTGTCAAATGTCAATTTTGGATAGTTTCAAATTTCAGGAATCGCCATAATTGATCTGTTGATTCGAAGGACGTTTGCGTACGAATCGTCGTCGCTTCGAGGCGATTCGTCAGATGTTTTTTGTGGAGGATCATCAAGTAGTGCTCATTCGTCGACATCTTCTGCTTCATCGACATTATTTGCTGCTTCATCGCCCTCGCAAGCCACTTCCAACAACAACAACGACAATAGTAACGCAATGTCGTCAACAACACAACAAAATTCCGTTTCATCACGACGCAAACAAGCCAAACCACAACGTCTCTCCACTGAACTCGACGTGAATACGCAACTGGCCAATATTACTGCTGGAACAGCACCTAGTAGTGCACTTGCCAATGGTAAGTGCTTTCATTTTGATTTGTTTGTTCATTGTTCGGTTTTGATTGATATATCCGTTGTTTGATACATCAGTTATGTGCGCTATCGTTATCCCTATTGATTACTCATTATCTGCTATCACCCATCCTTGATCCGTTCTCGTTACCGTCCGTTATCTTTAGGGTTTTCCATTATATTAACAAGTATTTCTGGACTTCTTGTCCACTTTCAGTTGAATGGGGTTTGAAGATAGAAGATATATCTCGGAATCCTCTCTTCCGTGAGCTAGGCTTTCACGAGTTGTTCAGCAATGCAATGCAATGATAAGTTACTGAAACAGTGTGTGTGTAAGTTATTACGATTGCTATTGGTTTCTGCATAATATGATCGATTCTGACTGCATTGGTCTTCGCTTACGGTTCTTATTGAATGATTATCAGCGAGAATAATGGCTGAAAGGTGGAAGTGATAGAAGTTTGACGGATTTCCAACTCTCTTTTCGAGCAGTTTATTGTCAGATGAAAGGTGGTGCATTTTGAGAGCAATCCGTGCGATACAAAATCGCATCATTGCATTCATTTAGCATGCCATATATTTTCACATGCTATGACTTTACTACTAAGATTCATTTAAGCATGCTTACCATTCGCTAATTAGTTACTAATTTGACCTAATCACGGCCAGTTTCGTAGGGTCATAGTGCGTAGGTCATCATGGTTATGAGTGCTGAATGATGTTAATGATGATGATAATGAAGAGGATCTGGCTGGATATTAGATTTGAGATTGCGATTGCTCTGCGACATGAAACAATGTTTGAATTTTTTTGCAGTGCAAAAATTGCTAAATATCACCTGATTGCTGAATACCGTTGTTGTGTTGTTTTCGTTAGCATTGATTTGATTTAGTTGTGAGTGTTTACCCACTAAACAAGAGCACACTTCAATGCCGCCTCAGAAACCGAGCGAGCCATACGGCGGCTCCTCTGAACTATAACTCATTCAGTCAAAGTTCACAAAGCTGTATGATTGGAAACTTCGATTGATTGGAAACTACTGAATTTTTGCGCATCATATTTTGCAATGCGATTTGAACTCGATCCGAAATTTCAGCTGATTCTTGTAGTTTTCACATGTGCCATTGTTATATTTGAAAGGTTTTCTCGTAAAATTCGCATCCATCATGGAAAACGGAAAGTTGTTTTTTTTCAACTTTTTTTGCGAAAATATAAACTCTTCAACATGAGAATGGCACGGATCCACTCGCACTCTCGGATTGATTGTGACGATTGTGATCAAATTGTGATTGTGATCAAACGATTCAACGTATTGATTTGTTGTTGTGATTTTGTGAATTGCAACTAGAGAATGCGTTGAATGAAAACAAAACAAACAGCGATGAGTTAGAAAAAGAAGAAATCGCGAAAGTTTTCTGAAAGATAAAGTATAAGTCAATAATATAATCAAATGCAACGCCGCAGAACCTGTTACTCTACAAATTTGTTTTGATGTCCAAAAATAATGTAATACTTTCGTGTTTTGCTTTTTTTTTGTTTTCTCGTAAAGACAAGCGGAGTGTTTCATCGTTTCATTATTGAATCATCACCTCATCGTTGTGTTCGTTCGATTCCTTTAGTTTTAGCCGAAAAATCAATAGCAGTGTTCACTATGTTCATTAGTTGTTGATTGATTCAGTTGTTCATCAGTTTCTACCTTTGCAAAACATCATCACCTCAATTGTTTCGTTGGACCAGCCAGCAGCATCCTTTCGAGTGTTTTGTACATTCGCCATTTTATAGTTAATATAGAGCAGTTGAAAAAAAAATCACTTGATTTTGAAATCAATCATGATGAAGCGAACGAATAATGTCTAAATTCATCAACGAAAACTTGACGAATTGTATCGACTAACTGAAATGTTTAATGGCGATTGAATTGAAACCAGTGCTCTCTTCTCACTGACTAACAAGCGTTAGGGAAGCATCTTAACGTCGTCGTCGTCGTCGTCAAAATTTCCAGTTCAATTAGTCAATGTACAAGTTTTTTTATGGCAAGCAGCACATCCATCTATATATGTACCGTTATATGATTCTTTATTCGACTGTTTTCCACAAAAATCTCCTCCAGCAAAAGTGCAGCATAACCAGCCAACTGTAAGTGAATGCGTAACGATTGCGTTGTGTGTCGGTTGTTGGATCGCTAAGTCATTTGTATTAATGATCAACACACACACTCAGCTATTACATAAGTGTATCATCGTCCTTTGTGATATATCTGTTTCATCATATGCTCATATTGCATATTGATGTTGTCGATATTGTTGATATACTCTTAAGTCCATCATATTCTACCGTAATTTTCATTCATTCATGTTAGTCAGCAATCGAGCACGTTTCAAAACTGAAATCTAACACAAATGCAAAGTCTTAGGCGCTATGATGCATTTTTCGATTTTTTTAAAACATAATTTGAATCATTTACAGTCGACTTTTATTATGTGGGCACATAGGCAAGTATGCTATACAGTTTCATGATTATACGATTATGTTAGGGCAGTATTTTTTTCCATTCTGGGTTTTAAGGTGAGAAATTTCCGTGAGCAATTTTGATGTTTCATTTGTCCGGATTCATGATATGTCTCGCGAGATTGCGCCTTTTTGAGGTGATGATCTGTGATCGGAGTAGTGATTATCGATTGACTGTCATGATGTGATGATGAGTACGAACACGATGAGTTAGAAGCAAATTCATTCAAGCGAAACTTTTAACGGTTATACCAATTGTAGCTGTTGCACTGATTCATACAATTAAGTTGATCAGTCAGTAGTACCTGTGCGATGAGTCTGACCCAACAAAAGCAATAAGTGTTCGTGATTCTAAATAAACTTGAGCACCACCTCTACCCTGCTGATATCATTGCGATGTGGTATTTCTGAGAATTCATTGCTTGACTTGAATGAAGAAAACCTTCAAAATAGCTTCAGAAACACATTACTTTGCCTCATTGAGTTCTTTATTACCTAGCGAATCTGTTCAGGTTGTCGCTGAAATTATTTAAACCTCATCGGATTCAAAACATATCTGGTTATATCGTTATTCCATTCGAAGTTTCCTTCCTTCCACGAACGGCTCCTCGCATCGCTGTCTCTCTGTTTGTGCGCGTTAGTGTACGTACCTCTCTTCAATGATTCGACATGCGTATTATTACCGTATACCGATTATGATAAATAGCCTATCATATTCGTTTGATATTGATGAGGATTTACATTCATCGTGCTATTTCTCACTCGTCCTTTTCGTCTGTTCGCGTTTGTTGTGTTCACACTCTTGACGTCTGCATTACACATACCTACCTGTGTGTCTGCGAGTTGTGTGTGTCTAACATGAGAAGAGCATTACTGGAAATGGCCACGCCCCAATAAGATTTATTTATTATGTGCGTCGTCTGTAAATAAGATATGAAATACTTTTTAGATAAGTTTTTTAGCAAAAAAGCGATTTCATTAATTATATCAACTACATATTTAATTGCATACATTTATATATGCTAAATATATCAAACTTTCATCACTGGATCTAGTCAAGATCTGGGGATTAATCTTTAAACGCAAGAAATTTTTTAAAACTTTTTGGTTTGTTCATATTATCGTATCAAATTAAGTATTTTGTGATTGGATGGTTGATATTTTATGGTGGTTGGGTAGAGCACAGCGCCGTTTATCATTGCAGATAACAGCTTAATTTTCTAGTCATTTTATCATTACTAGTCTGTTTCCGTTCCATGATACAGTGGTTAAGTGTAATGCAAATTCTCATATGAAAATATGTAAGGGCATATGTGTATTGTTTCTGTAGGATTACTAAGCTTTCAGAAGCTGCGTTTAACAACTAAGAATGGTTTTCGCTTCTAGAAGTGATCTCGGGAGGAACCCAGCTGTAAAATTGCCCTCTAATTGGTGGCACTTGCAATCAGCTAACGTTAATTCAGCCATTGTAAGATCATTATCAGTATCATTGTCATTATCAACGTCACTGTTATTAGTTTGGAAATTCATATCCGTTTCATATGTATTACTCCTTGAAATAGCATTGCTTCATTCGCTAATAACCGGCAAAACAGAGTGAAGAATTGTTCCTGAATATTATTATGGACTAAATCTTGACTAATGTGGACTAGATCAATTTGAAGATTTCGTTAAAAGTAGTGAATGGATGTGAATAAATTGTAAGTGAAAATGAGGTGAAGTGAAGTCATTTCGAAATGATTTAGAAATTAAAACTGTTGCAA